TCCGTGATCGCCGACTGAGCCTGAGGACTCCGGGAACCGTCGGAATCGGATGCTGCCGGGCCCTTGAAGCCCGTGTCCGGGCCCCGGGAGTGCCAGTGATCCACCCCGGGCCCGGGGCCCCAGTCACTAACCCGGCCGGGCCCGGGTGACCCGGTTCCGGGACCCCCGGGCCCGGCGGCCGGATGGCGATCAGATGGAACTTCACTAGCCTAGTGATTTCACTCACACTGTAAACCACCGGTACTAGAAGCCAACTTTGAAAAGTACCCCTCCTTTTGACTATCTTGTACCCCCAAATATCTGAGGTTTCCAGTCACTTCTTTACAAACCTACCCTCCCCCCAATGGTGCCTTCACACCCACCCCACTGGTAAACACTGACTACCCCCACCTGCCATTGATCCCTTGATTACCCTACCCTTTCTAGGAAGTACAGAATGTACCTACCCCCCTACTCCTCACAGGCGTTACCTGCAGTTTCAATGCTGCTACCCGCCAACATGACGAAAACAAACCATGCTACAGCTCTCCCTCCTCCTCTCCCTCCTTCTCTCCCTCCTCCTCTCCCTCCTCCTCTTCCTCCTCCTCTTCCTCCTCCTCTTCCTCCTCCTCTTCCTCCTCCTCTTCCTCCTCCTCTTCCTCCTCCTGCTCCCTGAATCCCCCAACCTCTTCATTCCCAACCTTCCTCCCACTCCCACTCCCGCTCCTCCAGCTCCGCTTCCCGCTCCTCTCATTCCTCCCACTCCCCACGCACCTCGCATTCCTCAAGATCCTCACATTCTCAGAACTCCTCAGGCACCTCCCACTTTTATCACAGCTCGACATCCCCTCTCCAACGCTCCTCCTCTCCTTCCTCGTTCAAGTCGTTGTTGTATAGCTCATGCATGTTGCCATGTCGCATAGACTGACGTCGGTTGACATCTGAATCTGTCCATCAGACATGTCTGCTGGTGATGATCGCCCAGGGCGTTATTGTTCATATCAGTACAGATGAGAATGACTGCACTCATACCATGCCAAGACGCACCGTGATCGAGTCAGACTGGAGAACGAGATCCTGAGAGTTTGTTGAGGTGTGAGTGCAGTGTGATGGTATAATGACTTCCTGTGTGACTTTGTACTTGTCCAGCTTGTTGTGCTTCAGCACACCTGTCCAGCATGTCGTCTGACTCCCAGGTAGAGTAGCATCTACCTTGAGCAGCAGAACCTGATCTGATGTTGACGCTGCAGCACACAAGTAAAGCGCTGAAGAAGCTCTTCAGTGCGTACTGCAGCAAGGTGATGCTGGCCCGGTCATGAGCAGGAGTGTGACCCCTTGCGACTGTCAGAACGAGGAAGGGGACAAGACGATGGACTGGGAGGCAAGGATGTTGTGCTGACGTCGTCTCGATTGCTAACGATGAGGATTGCAGGCTCTGAGCTGCTTCCTGCAAGACTTGAGGATCAGTCCAGAGCTTCTTTCTCCTGACGAGGTCGAGATAGAACATGCTTCCGCGTTGCTTTTCAAGATCCTGCAAACGACTTCACTAATTGCATCTGTGTCCAGACCCATGCAGTGCTTGCAGAGACAGTGAAATCAGGTAATCCAACTCAAAGCTTTTTGTCGTGCATGCTGTTGCGAACTGGATTCTGTTATTGGAGACATGATCGATGCTCCTTTTTGCCTGTTCCCAGCGCTGACACCGACTTGCGCAGGCTCGAACGAGATCGATTTCTCGGAATTCAAGAAGTTTTTGCGAAAGTGAAGAACTTTTATATGAGGATCGCACCTTCGGTCCTGATTACCATCTCAGACTTGCCATCGTTGAGTTCAAGAAGAAGCAGTACAGGAACAAGTACGTGGCGCATGATGAGCGGTATGCTACCACTAGCGCTTCTCTGTTTGGTTGGTGTGATGACACTACATCTCTTCGTCAGGTTCACAGCTCTGCTCGCTTACATGCAGATCGATCGAGTAGACGAGATGCTCGCAAGGCGCAAGGGCAGTCAGCAGAAGACGGTCTGTGATAGCGACCGTAGTTGTAGCATTGATGGAGCAGTGAATGTCAATAGCGAGATTTGACGATGATGACGGACGTGCTGTTTGAGATCATGGAGATGATGATTATGGAGATGATGATGATATTGGGGGTGATGATGATTGGGAGGAGGAGGATCGGGAGGAGGAGGAGGAGGATGGAGATGATGATGAACTTCTTTGTGCAGGAGAAGAGAGATTCCAAGAAGAGTTCGAAAGGTGATGATTGCTTTGACATGATGGCAAGTGCTGAAGTTGCTTGTGCAGGAGGAGGGAGTCACAGGTATCGTGTGACGTCAGCCATCATAGCAGAATCTGATTTGGTTGATTTTACTTCTTCCGTCAGTTCGAGCTCTTCCAAGGTGGTAGACGTTGTTTTCGCACGTGCACCTGATTGTGAATGATCCAGAAGAAGGCTGAGAGACATGCGGATATCCTTCTGGAAGAAGATTTGGTACATGATGAGGAAGCACAGACTGAGAGGGAGGGAGGGGGGGGAGAAGGGGGGGGGAGAAGGGGGCGAGAGAGAGGGGGGGGAGAGAGAGAGTGACTTTGGTACGTAGGACGAGACACAGGAGGAAAGGCACGGAAAGCACCATGACAAGGTTAGAAGGAATTTTTGTGAGCGAGTTTGAGTGACATGTATGGAAGGCATCGGAAAGCGGGAGAAGGAAGGTGAGGGGATTCACATACTGAAGGGAGAAGCTGTTGGCTGGGAGGAGAGCGAGGAGGAAGAGGATGGTTTGTTCACCTGCAGACAGGAAGCGACAAGAGAGAGCCGAATGCCGTCTAGGAGGCCCGCGGTCGGTCGTCTTGCTCAAGTTGCTCGCGGCATGACGTGCTGGCTCAGGTTGAAGATGAGCGGGAGAGGCCACGAGGAAGCGTACACAGTGACGACGAGGTCTCGTCGGGATGGGATCAAGCCGCCAACCACAGGGAGGAGGATCACCTGCAGAAGAGGTGAGGGGAAGTAGAGTGCTGTGAAGGGTGTGAGGCGTCAGCAGCTCGAAACCTCCAGCAGGGGAGGAGCGAGACGATTTGAGCGAGGACTTCGAGGATGAAGACATCATCATACTGGACGAAGACGGTGACGAGCTCATGCATGGTGAGAAAGGCAACGAGCTTGACCGCGACCAGTTTGACGCTCGTGTGACACAGAGGGAGAAGAGATGCGGGAACAAGATCAGCACGACAAGCTTGCAGCAGAAGAACTTCACCCGCCCTCCTCCTCCTCGCCAGCAGCAACGGCAGGAGGAGAGGACGAGAACTCCGTCGTAAGGCATGCGAGCATGGAAAAGCGAAACCTGTCGAGGCCACAAAGCGCCGTGAGACCTCCGAGCGCGACGAGGCATCGACCAGACAGCGCTCATCGGACAGGATCGAGCTCGAGCGGGCTAGGAGGAAGTAAGACCTCGACTGCCTCCTCCTCCTTGTGACCCTCTCGTAGCAGTGGGAGGCAGCGGAGCCGGAATCGCCATGGCTGCCGACACTTCATCCCTCCTACGGCAGCCGCGCAGCAAGTGAGTGGAAGGAGGATAGGGAGGAGGAGGAGAAGATGGAGGAGGTGGAGGAATGATGAGAGTGGCAGGCTTCAGCTGAGGTGCAACTGCGGGGGGAGGACAGGCAGTCTCTTCCTCACGACAGACATGAGCTGGGAGCAACTTTGCGGGCACTTCCGGGCTCTCTTCGGGCTGGAAGATGACGTCCCCATCGTCTTCTCCTACAGGATCGGATGGGACGCAGAGAGGGGAGGGGGGAGAGTCTCCGTATGCACCTCCAGCAGCGACCTGACCCTGCTCTACGAGAGCATCGCGAAACATCCTCCTCCCCAAGGGACGCTCAAGGTGAGGATACCTAGGACTTGCTGCGATCTGACCTGCTCCTCCTCCCCTCCCCACCCCTGCTCCTCGCAGGTCAACTTGCTGCTGTCAACGGATGAGGAGTCTTCATCGGATGAGCGACACCCGCCGGAGGAGGCGACGGGCAGCAGGGAGCGAGACTCAGGTCCCGTGAGCATCGTAAAGAGCATGCTCACTAAGATGAGCAGAGCTGGACAAGCGAGTGGAATACATCCCCGGAGGAGCAAACCAAGGTGGTAGAGGTGAGGAGGAGGAGGAGGAGAGGGATGCGGGGGAATGCAAACTGATCGTCTGAAGTAGCTGAGCACATGAGCTTCAATGATTCGGATGCCTCGGCGTACCGTCAAGTGAGTTCGATGCCTCAATTCCATCGTCCTCCTCCCAGCCGAGACGTCCCTGACTCTTGTACCTTGTGCTCACTCCTTGTCCCAGCAAGCTGTTCGCCCCCCGCGGCCCCAGGTCTCCTCTCTTCCTCCTCTCCCTTCTCCTTCTCATCTTCCTCCTTCACCTCCTCCTCTCCCTCCCGGTCTTCCTCCTCCTCGTTAGCTATGTCCTTCCCTTTCTTTCGCTTCATCCATCCAGTATCCATAGCGACTGGTGACGTGCTGGGGTAGAGCGCTACCAGCAGGCCGATGTCAGCCCCAAGGAGCACGAGAAGTGGACTTGACTCATGCCCGCAAACGGTGAGAGTGAGCCAAGGGATACGATCCTGCTATCCTACTACCTTCCCCTCCTACTCCTCTCTCCCTCCCTCCCTCCCTCCCTCCATCCATCCATCCATCCATCCATCCATCCCTGCTTCTCCTACTCCTCTCCCTACTTCTTACCTTCTCCCTCACTCCTCCTTCCTCTGCCTGCCCCTTCACCACCATGGCCATCTTGTGCCTCATTCATGCTCTGCAGCAAGACTTCGATCTGTCGTTCAGCTCGTCACAGGGCATGCAGATCAGACCAGGAATCAAGGTATGTCTCATTCCTATCTTGCTCCTACATTGCTCCTGCCGTGCCCGCTCCCTGTCTTCTTCTCGTCTTCTTCTCGTCTTCTTCTCGTCTTCTTCTCGTCTTCTTCTCGTCTTCTTCTCGTCTGCTCTTTCGCGCGTTCGTCTTCTCTTGTCTTGGTGGCTCACGGTGCAGCAGCAGGGGTCAGATTCTCTCTTGCAGAACATATCGGAGAGGAGGAGTCGCGTTCAGAGTGCTTCTCGCAATCCCACGGGTCGACGAGAAGGGCTGGCAGAGCAGTCGTCTATGGCGCCCTCTGTACAGGTGACAGGACTGGGAAGAGGGAAGGGAGAGAGGGACGGAGGGCAATGGAGGAGAGGACGGAGAGTAAGGGAGGAGAGGGAGGAAGGAGAGGGAGGAGCTAGATTTGTCAAGCTGAGGAGGGAGCAGTCGGAATCGTCGCAGCTCAACTCCAAGGCCTACGAGAAGCTTCGCTCTTGCGTAGCCCTGGGGATCCTCCCGGCAGACGCCAAGGTGTTGATAGGGAGAAGAAGAGAGGAGGAGGGTGACAGGAGATGTGTCAGTTGAGGCTCGAAGTGGAGCACTGCACGGCGAGAAGACCAAGTGCAACCTTAAGGTACGGAGGAGAGGGAGGAGGAGGAGGGAACGAACGGTTGACAAATCAACAGAGGTTCTTCCGAGGCCTACGTAAAGAAATTTTCGACGTTCAAGTTCAGAGTGAAGGTGAGGAGAAATGAGGCGCTGGGGCGGGAGATGCGACGAGGAGGAGCGGGAAGGGAAGGTGAAGTCGGAGTGATGGACGTGCAGGACAAGATGAGCGCATGGAATGTTGAGGTGGAGAGTACTTCAAGGAAACCCAAGATAGGATCCTTTGAGGTTACGGCAGACCTGATGCCTCCTGTCCCTCGTCACTCACTGCGACCTCTTGACAGATCAACCTGCAATGGCAGTGTAACGGGTTTCCTTACGAGATCTTGATCTTTTCTAAGGTCCTTCCCCTCCCTCCCTCCATCCATCCATCCATCCATCCATCCATCCATCCTTCCGTCCTTCCTTCCCTTCTCTTGCAAGCTCGTTCTCGCTCGGGGCTGCTGTGACTTGCATCCGGCAGCTCAAGACCAAACGATGGCCTGACGTGGAGAGCATCGTCTCGACCCTCTGCGAGCTGCTGCCGAAGCAAGAAGAGGTGGAAGAGGCGGTGGGAAAGGAACAAGTTCTTTACTCGTCCGCTAGAAAATGCTGCTGAGAGTGGTCGATCAAGACTTGAACACCATCGGTGAGGCTTCGAAGCCTCTCGCGCACGCCTGACGTCAGTGGCAGGGGATGCTGAAGTCATCATCAGCGACCCGTACACACAAGCGGTGGAGCTGAGAGCCTGAGGAGACTGTACTGACCCCTTGACAGCCTCTTCGCAAGTCCTACAGCGACTTGGCCGGGGAGTGCGTCGTGTACCTCAAGGAGGTGAGTGAAGCTCCAGCACTCGCAACCCGCCGACCTCGTGCAGGGCGACTATGACATCAAGATCAACGCGGAGAAGTACAAGGAGATCATACTGACCAAGACGCTCAAGGTGAGGGAGAGGGAGAGGAGTGAAGACGGTGAGGCTGCAGCATCAGATCTCGGAGATCAACGAGGTGGAGTTGTTCTCCAACTGAGAACAACTCAAATGAAGGTCAACGCGAGATGAACGCGAAGTTCGAAGTGGTTGTACAGAGAAAAGAGACAGCAAGGGAGAGCAAGGAGGGACAATCTTGAACGCCAGTGCTCTGAGTGAGAAAGACGAGCTACTAAGCCACTTAAAATCAATTGAATGCGAATCAATAGAAACTACTAAGTCACTGTAACAATCGAATTCGAATCAATACTGTGCGATTTATTATGCAGTTTACAAGTCGCTGTTGTTAATCTTACTGCTGGCGGTAGTCGCAGTAGTTGTGGGAGCGGCCGCCATCGCAGCTGTTGACGAACCCAGTGGGGGGATGGTAGAGAGTCTGCATGGAGGTCAAGCGAGCTCAACAGGAAGAAGCATCAGAACTCACGCCGTAGAAGTCGTGGCCGGAACCCTCACCGTCGAAGTCACCAGCTCCGTCTGGGGAGATCAACGGTCAAGAAACCTTATCACCACAAGAGGATGGCAAACTCACAGAGGATGTAGCCGGAGTCGAGCTGGGTAGCAACAAGCTGGGTGAAGAGAGCGAACATTGTCTGAATCAATCAGTCAGATCGAAGATCGATGCAGTTTGGTATGAAATGTAACAACGAACTCGGAACACAAACACGAGCACACGAAATGAAATGCAGAGGGGTAGCATGCGTTGAAATTGGGAACGAAACGACAAAAATCAACCAGTTCTGTAATCAGTTGATCATGAAAATGACATCTTGCAGCACAAATTGACCGTGAGAAGAAAGTGGTTGATGATAGGATGGTGTGAACCACGAAGAAGAAGATGAATATGATGATGACAGTGAAGCATCGAATGGAGATGATGGAGGTATAAATCGCAGACTGATAACAGTCACTCCCATGTCGCATGTTGTGCATGCAGTCAAGACATCATTGTTGCCGCGGCAAGCGACATGGCAGACCTGCACTTGACAATCTATTTCCGGCACGCTTTTTTTATAGATGTTGGGGGTGGGGTACCCCACCCTTGGGATCATGTTCCTACATTTGTCTTTACACGGGACCGGTGGTGAGGTCCAGACTACCCCTGTTGCCAAGCCTCAAACCCACCACCCCCTCGCTGTTCTATTTCCATCCAAAGTGCAATTCAGCCGTTACAATGAAGCTCAGCGACTGTAACGGCTCCGCTCTGCGAGTTTCAAGGCCCGCACCGTCTGCGGCACTGCGGCACTGAACCGGCGGGCCGCCCACTGCCACTCAGCCCGCTCGGCCGGGCGCTGATTAGCCGCCAGGGCGCGGCAGTGACCCGAGTCGTGACACAAGAGCTGGAAACCCCATGATAAACGATCAGACGTGAAGTTTCTCGTGAATTCTGACGGTATGTAACAAGGTGCTAGCTGACAAGCCTGACCGTCGGACTCCGAGTCTTTGATGCAGAAGACTCCCGAGCGATGGCAGAACTACTGGGCCGGGCTAGGCTAACCCGGTGACCGTCAGTGGGAGACTCACTGAGTCAGGCCCTGAGGGCCGGGCGGCCGCTGCCACATGAGTTCTTTATAGTTTGAGCTATAAACCTGACAGAAAAAAAATGTGTAGGACATTGAATCCTACCTAGACCTAGCTTGCGTTTATATCATCCCATATTTGGTGCCTTTCTCCCGGCACTGCCGCGGCAGCCGGCAAAAGCTTTTTCAAATCAAGTCGGAAAATGCCGCACATAATTTCAAATATGTGAGAACAAATATCGGAACCTTCCCTAATCTCTCCTACTGAGTTGAGAAGTAATAAATCTCTCTCGCGCCATGCTCAAACGCGGCAGGCAAGATGGGGGCGACGATGAGCAGTCCGCTCGTAACAGCAATTGGAAAGGTCTCCGAGAGAGAGAGAACCACATCTCTTGGAAGGAGATAGCTCGGAATCGTGACGCGGTGGGGCATATGGAGGAGAGCAAGCTTTTTTGTCTCGATGGATCGTTGTGGGATCAGACCAGCTCTGGACAAGGAAGGCAGCGGGTGCTCTACTGCAGGGAATGCTTCAATGAGCAGTGGCATTTCATCAAGGAGAGAGTGTGTGAGGCCGGGCGTCTGGGTTGGATCCTAGGCCCTCCAGGGACGGGGAAGTCGACGACGACCATGTCCTTTATACAATCGCTGAGCATGGAGGAGGGATGGATGGTGATGTGTGTGCGGCTGTTGAAGTGGAGTTCAATTCAAGTGCTACAAGTTGATGATGGAGTTTTGAGAATTGCTGACTTGCCACGCAATGGTGCAGAAGAGATGCTGAGAAGGGTCCTCAGAGAATGGTCCCAGAGCAACAAGAAGTATCTTGTGTCCTTGGACGGTTACCAAGAGGATGTACATGATCTGGTGCTCAGTGAATGCATATACTGGCTTCACAAGGATCAGGAAAACCGGCGGGTTGTGATCACGACGTCGATGAGTTCTCGAGTAAAGAAAAAAATTGAGCTCGATAGAATGGAGAAGGTAGAGGAGCTGATGGTGTACTCGTGGACACTGGAGGAGTACCTGGAGGCCATTAAGTACGAGATGTTCTACAAGAGTGTGGCTAGTGTAATGGAATGGAGCTTGGATGCGGAAGAAGCCTCGGAGGAGACAAGGTCAAGAGTTGTCGAGTCAAAGTATCAGATTGTTGGAGGCTCATGCCGCCATATGTTCGAATGTACGACAGATCAAGCTATCCAAGAACTCTGTGCAGCGATGAACTCTGTCTCTCATTTCAGGACGCTCTTTGAAATGAATGTGGGCGACCTTTCAAAGCAGTTTGTCAATCGGCTGCATGGGAAGTATCGAATCGGAAACCAGGTGTACCGGACTTTTATCAGTAGGTTTGTTGCCAGGGAGCTAGCAGAGAAGCTCGGAGAATCGTTTGTGAGCAAGATTGAGCATCTCCATGGCATGACTGAGAATCCGTTTCTTCGGAGGATTTGGTTTGAGATGCTGTTCTTTGCTCGGATAGGACGAGAGCCAGGGCTGCAGGTCACCCTCAGGTCAGAGAATCAAGCCGAGTCAGAGAAGCACGACGACTGGCAAAGGTGTAGCGTAATACCTCTTGAAGCAAGGGAAGTACAGAAGGCTCTGAAGCAAGGGCCAGCAAGGTTGTGCCTGAAGCCGTTGAATTGGAATCAGGGTGGCTATGATGCTGTGATTGTGGACTCGAATGACAATTTGGTGCATTTCATACAGGTAACCATTGCGGAGACGCGTGACCTCAAATTGCGATTCATGTATGATTGCCTGCAATCTTTGGGCATTGAGCAAGGGGGGACCTGGAAGGTGGAGGTTGTGTTTGTCGTTCCAAAGGCGAATCTCTACAAGTTCAGATTGAATTGTGTGGAAGACGAATTGATACTTACACAGTACGGGTGGACAACAACAGACGCTCATGTAGTTGCAATGAACTCCAGACCGCAAGGATAGAGCCGACAGATCGATGAAGGAAGGAGGAGGGGTCGCGGAAGGAGGAGGAGGGTCGCGGAAGGAGGAGGAGGGGTCGCGGCCCCCTCCCCTGCATCATGTGATAGAGTGCCTCGAATAAATACATCCCAGATACCAACTCTGACAATACCTCACCTCCGCAGCCTTGGGCACGTCACTACCCCTCATCTCTCCTTCCACGGGTGCGTGCCCGGCACCTTTTGAAGGACGCGATCCTGGTGATGATTGGTGTTCCCTGCCGGTTCTCAGAGAAGGAACCATGGCATATAAGCTGATGACGATCAGCAGGCATGAGGTAGGTCCTCCTGACGTCTTGATCTCACTTGATGCCACCAATCATCATAAGCGTCTCGTTAGGGCCACTGGGTTGCAAAGGCTAAAGACGTTTTGCTCAAGACCTCAACCAAACCCGAACATTGCTTCAAGCTGAGAGCGAAGCAGGACATGCGGAGCAAAGCTGCGATACCACCGTTTCCGACTCTAGCTCAGTCACCTCATGCCTCATGCTGGCGACTTGAAAGCAGCCTGTGCTGCATTCACACATTGATTGTTTGGCATGCTGGAAGGAATACCTGCCCCTTCCGACATGTCCCCGTTTCCTGACTTTTCTCACTGGCAAGCTGCAAGATCTTGTCATACATCTGTTCATACTGTGACACATGTTGTACACACAACCTTCGGGAAGGAGGGAGATCGCCAGAGCGATCACTGCTTCGTTCACTAGAACACGACGAGCCTGGCACGACCGTCTGATCGGACGGCGGGCTACTGCTGAGTCTACTGAGTCACTGAGAGAAAAGACAGCGAGGCGGCCCGGTTGAACCAACTTGCCCCTCATCCTGCCGACCGACTGCCGCGTCTTCTCTGATCATCACTGCATATTCCGAGGCTGCCGGCCAAGCCGACTGCATGGCAGAGTCCGATCACTGAGCCCGGGGAGTTCACCGGGCCCGGCCCAGGCCGGGCTGAGCCGCCCGGGAGCCCCGGACTCAGTCGCCGAAGATAAACTGCATGCACAATTCTTGAGGGGTGGGGGTGTTGAAAGAATGGGTAGTCTCTATCAAAATGGGGGTAGTTGCACAGGGATGAATGGGGTGGGTGTGAACAAACTACACCGGTGGGCCGGGGTGGAACGCAAGCCATGTTGGCAGGGATTGTAATGAGGAGGATGGGGACTAAGACGACGATGATGATGAGAATGATGAGGACGACGACGAGAAGAGAGATGATGACAACACACAACTTGAGGCTTCACTCTCCTCCTCTTCGCTCTTCTCCTCCATCCTCTCTTGTCTCGCGCTCCAACATCTGCCCCCTACCAAGGCTGGACGCTTTCGGAGGTTGCAGGGGAAGAGCGAGCTTATCTAGCGCTGTCGAGGAAGTGAAGGACGAGTCGAACGCAGCAGAGGTCAACCCAGTTGTGGAAGAGAATCTGAAGGAGCTCCTTGAGCTCATAGAGGAGAAGAAGGGTGCCGACGTTCAGGTCCTCAATGTCAAAGATTACCCCAAGTTGATAAACATCTCAGAGTACACTGTGATCACAACGTGTACGAGCAGGAGACATATGCGGATCGTTGCCGAACACGTTGTGGAGCACTTCAGGTTGAAGGGGATGCTGGTGGAGAAGGTGGACGAGAACGATGAGGTGATAAAGGCGTCCCCCGCCATCGAGGGCATGGAATCGGATCGCTGGATGCTCGTAGACCTCAACGAGATTGTGTTTCATGCTTTCACCCAGGAGGGACGCGACTACTACAAGATCGAGGAGAACCTGCGGACTGAAAGCCCCATGGATGGGATAACTATGACGTGAGCGTGCATGGGACATGATTCTTGTGGGGGGCAGGGGAGGGGAGGAGAGCGTGGAAGATTGTTTTTTGAAGGCAGGAGGAGCGAAGGAAGTGTGGAGAGTAGCGATGGAGATTTTCCGTGTACAAGTTTCTTCTTGTTCCCACGATCGCAATCACAAATAAACCTCCTCTTCGCTAGGAGACACCCAACCGATCCTTCCGAGAAACTCCTCCTCCTCCTCCTCCTCCTCCTCCTCCTCCTTCTCCTCCTTCTCCTCCTTCTCCTCCTCCTTCTTGCAGACCCACACCTGCTCTCCCCTCCCTCCTGCCCTCGCTCGCCGCCCCCGCCCCCTCCGACCTCCTACCAGCCCCTCTGCTGCCGTTCAGTCCCCATTCCAACCCCCGGGTTCCCTTGTAAACATACAACAAGAAATTCGATAGCCGTTGGCGGGCAGGAGGAGGAGGGAACTGAACGGCAGGAGCGAGCGAGCGAGATGGAGACGAAGATGACTCACAGGTGAGAAGGAAGAGGAGAGGGAAGGAAGGAGGAGATAGGAGGAGGTGCGGGAGAGGAAGCGGAGGGGAGGGGGGGCAGGACTTTGGAGAGGAGAGAGAGAGGAGGAGGGGAGAGAGAGAGGAGGAGGGGAGAGAGAGAGGAGGAGGAAGGCGCAGGAGCTGATGAGGCCCAGCCTGATCAAGGCAGTGTCGGGAGAGTTCGACCTGGAGAGCGTGTACAAGTTGACGCTCTCGCGGATGAACATCAAGACGATGGAGAACCTGGAGGCGTGCGTGAACTTGCAGGTAGAGGAGAGGGAGGGGGAGGAGGGGGAGGGGAAGGAAGGGGAGGAGAGGAGGGAGGGACACGAGGGGAGGGGAGGGGAGGGAGGGGCA